AAATCTTACACCCCAAATTGGGGTGTAATGAAGGAGAAGGGAATGAATGAGAATTTTTTCCTCTCCTTCCCTTTCTTTCCCCTTCCCTAAGTCATTTCCCAAACACACTGTAAGAGATAGAAGAAGGAATGGGTAAAATACAATTTTCTTTTGAAATTGTAAAATATAGTAACTTTGAGAGGGTCAAGGGGTAAAAGAAAATTTTCAGCTAAACAGTCATGGCTATTACCGAAATTCTCACCGCTGGCAAAAAAAAAGGGTTTTTCTATAGAGTGGCAATGGGCACTCTATAGAAGAAGAGAGAGATAGAAAGAGATGATTGAGGAGGGGGTCTACCTGATTTGCATTGGAATCCCCTCCCCAATCATCTCTCTCTATCTCTCTCCTCTCTTATAGAGTGCCCATGGGCACTCTATAGAAAAACCAAAAAAAAAAAAAAAATCTTATTCACGTCAAAACTTAACTTTTAACAGCACCATATTAATAACAGTGGTCAACTAAAAATTCAAATCTGATAATTTAGCCACATTTATCATAACATTCAAGTTCACATTGGACTCGAACTCTCTTCAGAAGATCAGAAAAAAACCTCTGGTGAAAAAAGTACCAAAGGGATCTCTTTCTTGTATGTTAGATCGCATTAAGATTATTTACAGTGGGTTGTACACATGGGGAGACACCCAGGAGTAGATCCTATAATAAAAGAATCTTGCAGTGAAGATATTGATCACATCTCATTATGTTAGGTCACAATTATACAAGATTCTCTATTCAGACTTCAGACTTCACAGATCAACATCAAGGTTCCACTTCCACCACACCAAGAAAGACAAAGGTGGAAAAACATCCTCAACCCTTTCATTTATTAACGAAGGAGAGGAGGGAAAATAAAATAAAATCGTATGGTTTTGGCTACGAATTCACACCAATCTATCTCAAGGAATATGTCTGAAATTGTCGCTAAGACCGATGAAATCATGGATATCACAAGTTCATCGGTTTAGCAAATCAACAAATTAAGATCTCTGGTTCATGTGAACGCATGTCATATTGTTATGTCATGGCGTGCTCATAGATCATCTCACAGCCCATGCATCCCAAGGGGCTGCCAGTTTTTTTTTGGAAAACCAACGTAAAGCTTGCTGAACAGAGGAGGAGCAACTCCATGAAACTCTTAACAAACCCTAGAGGAAAAAAAAAAACCCTAGACCTGGAAATTACACTGAACAAGTGGTCCGTGTTTGCCCTAACTCAGGCTGCCGGTTCTCCATTGTTTTTCTATTAGTGTGGTCCGGTCCTTTATCCGCCTCCTGCAGATTTTAAAATAACCAACCAATAGTTGCAAATAGACAAATTATATATCCTTGAAATTTTATTTAAGTTTTCCTTGGACAACCCATATAGATATCGAAACAAAGACAACGGGACCATCTATATATACTTGATCGGTATTTAGTGTGCATCGGGGTGTTCAAAATGCACGTGATATGGCGATCGATCGATTAAACGTACGAATGCGCGAACTCAACTGAGCAAAAAGGGACGTCGAACAAGTTAATTTCATGAAATTTAAAAAACCAAAGCATAATGTTTGAGACATATAACACAATTTAATCTAATGGAATTGAAAGAACTTTTAATTAAAGAGGCAACAGTTAAACAAAAAGTGACATATATGTAGCCAATTCTTTTTCTCAAAGTACTTGTTAATTTTCAGAAAATATTAGGACTTCAGTGAATCACAGAATTTGTTTTAGACTACAAGACAAGAAAAAGAAAGTTTAATAAAACACTACAGTGTCAACTCCCAACAACATCACACGCGTGTTTATGATATGACTGCATGGTGAGAACTAAACTCCAGCGTTTAACAGCTATCAACAGGTAAATCCAAGGCAAAAAAAAAAAAAACCACAGAACGAGAGAGTCAATGATGCAGAGTTGGGTTGTTAAAATTTGTCAGGCTAGCTGACTATGAATCAGAGGCATTTATTAGAGAGGGATATATAAGGGGGAGGAAGCAATCAGCGTGCTTTGCTCATATCAAGAATGTCGGAAAATGTGGATCTCAAGCCACTGTGGCCGTGTAAAAGATAAGCAATTAAGTGTGCTGGAGGCTTCAACATTGCGCAAATTTGGACTTGCTGAATCTTGCTTTAAATGCTTATAATGAGGGGAAAGTATTAGATAAATCTTTCTATGGGGAAAAAACAATTTAATTGTGGGCCAAGGTAATAATAACCGGCTGGATCAATGCCCTAATCTCCAAACTCGATCCCTTGTACTGCACCAATCCGAAAGATTATTATTCTCTTCATGCACCATTAATTGCTGCTCCCAGCAATACAAACTAAACTAGCTAGTTGTCAGCCAAATCGTAAGGTGGCATTCTTTTTCATCAATACTATCAAAGGCAAAGATTCTGAGTTTTAATTAATGTGATCGAAGATAATAGACATATATATAGTTTCACTTATTTATATATTAATCTCCTACCCTCTTGCTCTTTTCTCCAAATAGTCCCAAAAGAGGGAGGTACTGGCTGGAAGGACCACAAAAACTATTGGCTGGATGGACCACAACAACTATTTGCTGGCCCATTGAGCCTGTAGCATAACAGTTTATGCTGAACAAGTGACGGTAGAATATAGGGGCAAAATTTTAAAACAGATCCCTTTGCAAAAATATTCTCAAGAAAAGACCTGTTTTGAAAATATTCGCAAAAAACGATTTAGTTTTAGCCTCAGGGTTAAAACTGGGTCGTTTTTTGCGAAAAATGTTCCCAAACTTCACGGGAGTTGAACTCCCGTGAAGTTTTTTTCAAAACAAAACTTCACGGGAGTTCAACTCCCGTGAAGTTTGGGAATATTTTTCGTAAAAAACGACCCAGTTTCGTTTTTTAAAAAATAAAGTGGAAACAATTCTTTTTTTAAGAATATTTTTACAAATGGGTCTGTTTTCAAATTTTGTCCTAGAATATAGAGTGGAATCTAAATTTAGAAAAATGCTAACATATACATTCGAGTGAGAAAACCTCTGCATGAAGCTCTTTTTCTGGCGTCCTAGCTTCTATAATGCAATGATGCCCAGTATGTAAGCTCTTTTCTGATTCTACTAGTTGACTTAGAACGTCCAACAATTTGTATATGGTTTATATCCCCCATTCTAAAGTGGATTTGGATCCTCTCCACTACAAAAAAATAGTGGACCTAGGTGTGTCACCACATGAATATTTAAAAGGGTTAAAGTTTAGATATAAACCCCCGTCAATTGTGGGCTTGTCTCAAAAAATCCCCCTCAACTATTTTAATTGTAGGAAACTCCCCTCAATATTTAAAAGGTGTTATAGATAACTACGCTCAAACTTGGAAAATACGACTTAACCCGCCATCATATCAACTATGAGATGTCAAGCGTAATGATTAAAACACCATTGTTTGAAGAAAAAAAAAATGAGTTAAAACAACCAACCAAAGTCAAAAGAACCCACAAAAAAAAAATTATGGAAGAACACACAATCATTTAGTCTTGAATTCTATGGGTTTTGACGAGGGGAATACCATCTTGAAAAAAACCCGGAAATTTCAAAATTTTCAAACAAAGCACGAATAAGTACTAAATTAAAGAAAGAAGCTTGAAGTTTCAAAAAGGAAAAAAATATAAATTGGGCTCGGACCTGGACCTAGCAATGGCACTAGAGGAAGAAAAAGAGCGGGAAAATACATGGGGAGGTACTTCAACAAATAAAAAATTTAAAAGGGACATTAATCTCTTAAGGGTACTATTTTCATTTTAAACCATGTGCGCACCACGTGTTTTGTTAGATTTAATATTGTTAGGTTGGATGGGGGGGTTAAGCGAAAAAAAGTTCAAGGGGTTTAAATCTTTATTTTAATAGTTAAGGGGCGTTATTTACAACAACCCCAAAATTGAGAGGGGTTTTCTAGAGTAAAAATAATTGAGAGGGGTTTTTTGAGACAACCTCTATGGTTGAGGGGCCTTTTCTAAAATTAACCCTATTTTAAAGCCAGAAATTTATGAGCGCTCCTGCTTTGCTTCCCTTTTCTCTTCTCCCCTGCTGTGCTTTTTTCAATTCACTTGAAACATTAACTGATTCCTCATGCATAACCTCATATTGCACTAACGTAACTATTTACCAAAGCACATAGACTGACAAAAGATCAAACAGTTCGTAATACAGAAGACATAAATTTGAAAGCAGTGGCTCGACGTATACATCACTCCAAAACCCAAATGTGTATGCATCTTTGTTCGGACAGAGGGGTAAACTAGAGTCTATTAAGGTACGTGTGAAGTATAACTCCCCATCTGTGACACATCGAATTGCACATTCCATTTGTATTCTGAACTACACAAGGAGTTATCCGAGCAATTGTGGAAGGCTATTTCTGAAACTGAGTAATGAGCCTAGGGTGTTATGTGCAGTTGGAGGTACTAGGAACATAACACCCTAGGCTAAATGTTCCTAGTACCTCCAAATGCACATGACACCCTAGGCGCATTACCGAGTTTCAGAAATAGCCTTCCACAATTGCTCGGAGAACTCCTCGTGTGGTTCAGAATACAAATGGAATGTGCAATATGATGTGTCACAGATGGTGAATTATACTTTACACGTACTTTAATAGACTCACTCATTCTGATAATCAAGAGGAGCCGTACAAATATTCCAGATTAGAGTCCTAGCAATTTAGATAAATCAACTAATATTGATAATGTTCTCAATAATCAATTAAGTTACAGGATGCTGACACTTCAAATTGAAGGGTGGAAATCCCGTTACCCTGCTCGAGGACTATTTTATTTGTCACACCTGAAGAGATGGAAATGGAGACACAAATCGATGCGCAACAAAATTCATGCCACAGAAAACTATAATATAAAGTGAGGAATTCCCCTTGGACCCTCTACAAATGGTTGTTGCAGGAAAAGAAGAAGGTGCTCTGAAGCACAATGCATCTTACTAAAAATGTGAATGGAGGCGGAATTATACATATAAGAAAACACACATTAAGCCTGAAAAGCTTTCAATTTTATTTTTGAACAAAGGAGCAGAATCACATCACGATAAATGTTACATGCAATAATAAGTCATGATTAAGCATGTACAGTCTTTAAACGATGCGGGAAATAAAGATATACGCAGATGAAGTAATGAACAATAGTAGCAAGATACAAATTGGCAAAACCATAAGGAGACCCAGTTAGATTATACTTGCAGGTTAGTAGTGAGAGGACCAATCTGCTGCGCTTCCAACCCTGGGCATTCCTAAACCATCCCTTTTTGCCTGTGCATCGACCTTGTAATTAGCACCACAGACTTGCCCTTGGCTATCCACCCTGGGAACTGGCTTCACCTCATTCAACGGATGCTCAAAACTTTGCAACCCCTTTGAAGTTGTGAAAAAGCAACCTGCTCGAAAGATGTTTAGGAATAATGTATATCAGCACAAAAGTTAAGTATGAAGAGCATCACATAGTTAGAATTATTTTGTTCTGTACCTTTAGGGAACGGTGCAAAGGATTTCCCACAGCCCTTCTTTACAATTTCTACGTCGTCAGAAAGAACCAGGTGGTTTTCTGAATCAGCTCCCCAGAAGAAAGGGACACTAGCATCTGCATCCTGTGTTGTAAACAAAATTTCTTTAGAAGATAAGGATGAAAAATCAACTGTTCAGAAATACACACACAAGTCGCACTCACGCGAGCGCGCACGCAGAGACCTATCTATGCAAGAACATACACACACATGCACATACACACACTTGCACATATTTGCATGGAGTCGTGGACATACACAACCACACTATTATTCAAGTGCATCTGCAGCAAGATAGAATTCTTTCCACTTCAATATTCGTACTCAGCAGAAAAGACATGTAATTATGTGATAACATTACAGATGGAGTATATCACCTATATACATCCAAAGTTCAATATGCATAAGCTAAATAGAGAAAAAGATTTATATAGCTGAAGGAGTAGCAATAGAAGTCATTCATGCAAAATTAGATGCTGGACACTGATAGTCCATGACATCAAAATAAACCTAAACTTTACAGATATATAGTTAACTATCCTTCATTTCGTATATCAGCTCATTTTAACAGTATAAGGATGTGCTTAGATTCATCGACGCTAGTGATTTTTCCCTTAATAACGTTAAGCATGACCACAATTCACAAACATAAACTTTATCTGACTGGGTAACTCCAGTATTAGTGCCTGCATTAATCTTCATATTACCATTTCTTTCAATCTCATTTCTGACCTTCAGTCAAATGCAATCCCATTTCCATACCAACCTTCCATCAGCTCTACATTTCATGTGATGGTAACAAGTCATTCAGCTGTCCATTATTGAGATAGTGCAATAAATTATTATTTTTATGTGCAAAGAGAAAATTACATACCACCGTTATACAGACTGTAAACAAATCCCCATGAGAGAAGTATAGTGTTTAAGTGGAGTAGGCTGCTTGAGCGCATACAATTAACTAGCCTTGGGGGCTATCAGTGAATTTCAGGCTCCAAAACTAATATGGCTCTTTAAGAGCAGACTTACTGTTTCACAATTTTAGGATTCTTTTGAGGAATGAATGAGGACTTAACGCCAGAATAGTGTAAATGAGCTGGCTCGGGCTACGTATAGGATTTGCTGTTTGAAGAAAATACAGGAGATAAAAAAATTTATACAGTGGAAACTGAAGTTAAAAGAGACTAGAAGTCTGGCACGTGCTACGCACATTAATTTCATTTAGTTGGCGATTTTGGTTGGAACGTTAACTTTTAGAATTAATTACATTCCGGTACCCTATGATATGGTGTAACTACACGGGTGACCCTGGGCTCTTTGTACCTACGTAAATAACCTTGAGGTTGCTAACTCGTATTCCCTGCTGCTCAAAATCTAATGCACTTAATACCGTTTTCTTTTTTTGATAACTTGTTAATTGCCACGGCATGGGAATTCCTAAAATGCTTTTTTTACATTCAGGTACCTTGTGGTACAGTGTTATTACACCCGTGACCTTAGGATCAACGTATCTGCACAGGTAATCCTGACGGCAAGTTAACACTACTTTTTCTTTCCTTTTTACTTCCCTTTCTGATGCTGGCGTAAAGTTTTCCAGCCCGTGGTTTCATGTATGCATAGCAACTATGGGGGAAAATAATTTTTTTATAAAAGGTTTATATTTATATACTAGTCCCTCAAATCTTCCGTAATTCTATATTAGTCCCTCAAAACTTTGAAACTGCTCATAAATCCTAAAAATCCTAAGAGGACTTCCAATTTGGCACCTTAATTGTGTAAGGATTATTTGCAATGTGATATCGTAAGGTTTATAAACTTTTAATTTTGATATCCAAAGTTTTTTTGACACTTTGATACACCAAAATTTACACATTAGCTTTTCATATCTCAATGTTTCCACATTCTTTCAAATCAAACTTTACACATTTTTAAACTTTGGTACCCATACTTTGGGCTAGAAAAGTGTCCAAAATGAAAATTTAGGGTATCTACTTCTTATTTACTAAAGAAGAACACTCAAAAAGTTCTTATGAACAATAAATCTGATTTGGACCAATCAGATTATTCCTAAAAAATATATTTTTAAAAACCTAAAGATCTGAACAATGAAAAAATAAAATGAAACCACGTTCTCCTACAAAATCTACGCCTTCTTTCTTTTTACCGGTCACGTTCTCCAAACTTCCCCTAAATATATGGACAACTGTTATGCGCGAACTCCAGTATTTCAAATGTTCACAATCTCATCTTTTCACTATTTCTCCTCTCTCTCTCTCTGCTCTTCTTCGCCCGTCAAGCGATGACGTCAAGGATGCGATCGCGCTCCGTCACCTCCTCTCTCCATTGATCTTTTCAAAGCGTCCAAGCTGTGTGGAGTCAAATTACACGCAACCTTCTCCCAACTTTTGATCCCAACTCCGATTTCTCCCCCAAATCAATCTAAAAATCTAATATCTTCTCTCTTTTTAGGGTTAAGTCCATCGATTGTTTTCACGCAACGCAAAAACTGCACGAAGCGTTAAAGGGCACGATGGAGAGGATCACGAGCCCTCGAGCGGTCTCCGCTTTCAAGGAGAAAGGCGTTCTCAGCGTCTCCGAGTTCGTCATCACCGACGACACTTCAAAAATTAGGGTTCCTTAACATTGGCTAAATTGACGACTACCCTCTTTTTTTCAAGCAAAGGGCAGAGTTTGAGTTAAAAAAAATAGCATTTTTCCTTCTCTACACTGTGATTTGTGTTGCTCCCTTCAAAAGAGGGCCGAGGTAAAATTTATGTTACTCCCTTTAATTTGATTTATTATTGCTCAAATGGAGATCTCAACTGGGTTTGTTTCGTAATTGTGGGATCTGAATCAAAATAAGCGGGATTGCTTGCATTTTGCTCTTGATTTTGTTCGTGATTTTCCTTTTCCTTTTCCTTTTTTTAAATTTTTTTTGCTTTTGTTTGTTTTTGTGTGTGTGGAATAATGGGTTTTGGGTATTAGCTCCAAATCTCAAAAGATTACAGATTGATATCTGTGTTTTTTTTCAGGATAAGCTTGCTATGAATATTACAACTGAACAGGGGAAGACACTTAAAGATGCCCAGGGTGATGTTTTCCGTGGTTTAGCTAGGTTAGTTTAACACCAAATCTAAATTTCCAAATTTGTATAAATCCAAATCTAAATTACTATTAGTACAACTCTTTTGCATATTTTCAAATTTGTATGCATGTTTTGTGTTCGATTCTAATTGAAATTGCTTTATGCATGTTGTTGGATTGGCTTCATGTCCGCCTTCTACAGCCTCTCTCTCTACGAACCAGCCGCAGACGGCGGCGAACCGAAATACCCCTTGATCGTTTCTATGAATCGCTATCATGTTGTTCAATATGTCACTTTTCAATCAGTAAATCATGTTGGACTCATTAATACATTTGTGATCTTTGATGTCCTTATATTTGGATATGATACATGTTTGATTCTTGATCTAAGTGGAGAACTTAGATAGAAGTAACATCTTCTATTGAGGGGATGTTTTTTATACAGAAAGAAAGGATCTTGGCTCATATTCATGTAACAGAATAATAGAGCATAAGGATAAGGTTATAACTTATAAGAAAATGTTTACATAAAAAAAAAGGTTGATACCATGAGGCATGCAAGAAATTCTCAGATTTACATTTTTTCCCTTCCAGAAATGTATGAATTCTGTGTAAGTTCTGTTAGAATTATAGGAATGCTTTTTTTTAAAAGATTGATCGATGAAAATTGTCCCAATATGGAAATCAAAACTTGAACTTTGTTATGTATTTGATGTCAGCAATCAGCCGCTTTGGAGTTATAGTGAATTGTAAATCAAAACTTGAACTTTGTTATGTATTTGATGTCAGCAATCAGCCGCTTTGGAGTTATAGTGAATTGTTATTTTGTGGACCTTTTTGTTCTCTGATTTGATGTCAGCAATCAGCCGCTTTGGAGTTATAGTGAATTGTTATTTTGTGGACCTTTTTGTTCTCTATGCAATGTTTTGCGCTGTTTTAATGAAAATAAGTGATCATGGAAATATAATATACGAGTTAAATGTGATTTAGTTGAATAATTAACAATATGAAGTATATTATTTATTCATGTTTTGGGCTGGTTGGCTTCCTCTAGGTTATGGAAAGAACCTGATAGGAGCTTCTGGATGAGATGTCATTGGTATATGATTCCAGAGGAGACTACGGATGGGAGGCAACCTTATAACTTACGAAGGGAACTTTACTCCACAAACCATTCGAGTGACATTGAGGTGAAATTTTCCATTTATCTTTTTTTTTATAAAAAAATTCAGTCCTAATAGAACATTAGGACTTCATATTTCCTTTATGAACAATATTTGTCACGTGTCATCAAGGTAGAAATTATTGTTGCTTAATGCATCGAGCAGTCATGTAGAAATTATTCTTAATTGTATGAAACACGGAAGAATATGAATGAGACAAACTGTAGTCGTATATATGTATCGATATTTTGATTCTGTAGATGTCATGATTCTTATTGTGTTTTATTTTATTTTATTACTTTTTTGGAGAAACTATTATATCGAATAGTTATTGGTGTCATGGATTACTAAATGTTTACCTGGAAAGCTAGGCAACATGTCACTTAGGAGTAAGTTGAAATATTACATTTAGTTATTTTTACATGTCATGGATTATATCGAATAGTTATTTTTACATTTGGTTCTTATCGGTTAGGAGTAAGTTGAAATATTACTTTCTGAGAAACATAATCTATTTTTAAATTTGGAGGAAATTGTTTCTGATGCCTATATTGAATGGACTAAATACTTGGAAGTTCATGTTCAATATTTGAAGGAGCAAATTGTACCCGTCTTCGATTCACTTTACACACGTTCAATATTTGTAGAAAATCTTTCAGAAACCGTGCTTTGCACGGGTCTAAATATATATATAATAATACGTTCAATATTTGTAGAAAATCTTTCAGAAACCGTGCTTTGCACGGGTCTAAATATATATATAATAATTTCATATTCCTAGAAGGAAACTTCTGCATCGTCAAACTGTTGATAAAAGTTGACGATTCTCGCATAATTGGAATATTGCAGCTGCTAAATTTATTGGTATAATAAGTTATAACTTGCAGGAATGAGCGTCCTCACGATGAATCGCCGGTTGAAACTTTTTCATCTACACTATTATTCCTCAAAATATATAACTTGAGGGGAAGGATTCCTAAGGTAATTTTGTAGGTTCATGTATTAGTTAAAAGAAGAGTGAGTTTCATTGCAATTTTACTTCTTAGTTTCGATATTAGTCCCTTAAATATTTCTTTTTTGGAATTAGTCCCTTATATTGTTAAAACTGCTATTAGGTCCCCCAATTTGCAGAATCTTTTAGAAACCGTGCTTTGCACGGGTCTAAATACAAGTGAAAGTTGAAGGGGAAAAATTTATCGTATCGAAGTGTCAGGAAAAACTTAGATATTAAATTTAAACAAGGTGTAAACTTTAGGATACTAAAGTGTCAAAAAAAAACTTTGGAGTATTAAAGATAAAAAAAGAAAATTTTAGGTACCAAAGTGCAAATAACTCTTTTCTAGACGTGATGGATTTTTGCAAAAAATAAAATAAAAAAGAGGGGTATTTTAGTCATTGAGGTACTAGACTGCAAGACCCTTAGGATTTAAGGTACTAATGAGCAATTCCAAATATTTGAGGGACTAATATAGAATTATTGGAAATTTGAGGTACTAGTATCCCAGTAAATGAGTAACCCTACATAAAATGATTTGTTTCTTAATTTGTTCAGCTTGTTTCAATTGCATTGAACTTTGATTGGTCCCCACATTCCATGTCAGCAACTTTTGGAGTTAAACCCACCAAAACAATAAGGAAATGTGTTGTTTTGGAAGGGCATTTTTGTCTTTTCATATGCAATATTAAGCTCCATTAATAATTTCATGTCGGTCAGTAAACTCAGGGTCACTCATGTAGATATGAAAACCCAAGGGTCACCCATATATTTAAATCATACCACAAGTTACCAGGATGTAAATAATCCTAAATTTTAAGACAAAATCAATTATGTTTATGTAAAGTGTTTTGCGACAATCTTTTAAGAACCTAAAGGAAATTAAGTCAGAAAACAGGTACTTTACCAACATTATTATGACATAAAATATGAATGATGGCTTTGGCTTCATACATTAGATTGTAGACTTCTTTAGAAATCATAAAGAGTGAGGAATTTTAACTACAGGGTTACTATGTGGGGACCTGGAGGGAACATTAAGTGAGAGCTCATTTTTACTTTTGAATTTTAATTTTAGACATCTTTGCTTCTTCCCTTTGTCCCTAAGCCAAGGCAAGAACACAAGAATTGGTGTGCCCTTGCGTTTTTGACTTTTCTTAGTTGTAGTTAACCTCTACTAGACTTGGATTTTGTCGTGAGGACAGTGGATAATAATGCACCTTTACGTGGTACCAAGATCTCAAATCTGGACTCTTCTTACACATTCTTCTACTGGTGCACTCAGTTCTTCAACTTATTTACTTAGACTGTCATATATCTTAGTGTATGCTCATAATATGCTACAATTATATCTGCTAGACTTTTTTTATTACAAATTGCATGGGCAAATTATAAATAGTCAAATTCCTCAATCATCTACTAGTCATCCCATCATATATTCTACAAAATAAAAACTAAATGAATTCACATATAACAGCATTTCCCATTCATTTCATGAAAGGGAAGGTAATTGTAAATCTACTGTAAACCCTAACATCACTGAAATTGCTCGTCTCCAGTAGGCACTAGACCTAAATAAGAAAGGTATCACAACAACATAATAGCGTCCCATGTATGATATCGACATAACTAACCATTGAAAAAAAGCACAAAAAAAGTTAGTGCAATATAAATGAAAAGAGAATATGGCTATTTTGTGCATCTGGGGGCAGATAAGAGACCAGGACAAAATCTGTAGAGAATATTTCAAGGTAATGCTCAAAGACCAAGCTAAATCTTTCATCAAAATGAGAATCCTAGAATGATTAGCCTGACAATTATTAACATTCATTTTTTATATACCTAACCATTCTTATATAGCAAATATGCTTAAATACAGTTCTGAGTGTCTTATTTTAATAGCCATGTTGCACGAGTCATAAAGAAGTTGGAAAAACCATGGTTTCAGATTTACTTACAGCGGCAATGAAGGTTGATTTTGATGAGCTATCAAACAGAATAAATGCGAACTTTCCATTGAGGTCTCTTACAACCTGATCTGCAGGATAAGGACCTCTATCTCTTAATGTCCTGTAAGCTTCAATGACGATGATAGCTTCATTGGCAGTTTTGCTCAATCCATATTGTTGCTTCAGATGTGGAATATTTTCAATATGCCCTTGGAATAAACAAAATATATCATCCACAGCAGCAAATAATCTGCAGGAAAGCAATAGAATAAGAGAAGGCAAAAAATTGTTTCAAATGGATTAAGTTAAAGGGAGAAAACAAATGGATGAAATCCAGTTGTATGGATAAAATTGAAAACTAAAGTAAACAAAATAAGGCTATTGGTAAATAATAAATTAGACAACCAAAAGAAAATTAGCAGCAGTTAAATCCCAGGGATGCACCTTCAGAAGCTATTGCTTTTTAAAGATATGTAATTAGAAAAGAATTAAAAGCAAACAGCATTCCAACAGCAGTTCGATCAAAACAGATAGACTGGAAAAATTCTGCAAAGCTAAAAATAAGCAGACAAATGAAACAGCATTATGTATTTACCATAATCGGAAAGACTAAAAATAAGCATGACAAAACTTTTTTTTACCTGTTTATTTATTAATTCATTTACTTACTGGAAGAGTTTTCCTTTATGCTTTAACGTGTAAATGGATATCATACAATGATGCTAATCAGAGCATGTTATATTTTCCCATGGACGTCAGGATTTTAGCATAAGGAATTATTGGACCTTCTTATCAAGCCATGTCAGAGGATAGCATATAAGTGGCTTATTATCCGATAGCTTTACAGTAGGTCAAAAAGTCAAATTGCATGAAGAACTATGTAAAGGTATCTGATCTTCCAAAAAGAAAAGGAGGGGGGGGGGGGGGGGGCCCCAAGAGCTATCAATATTCTATTGTTAATGTATCTTTATAGTGATAAAAGTTGTGTTCAATTTAAACCAACAATAGATACTAAGAGCATAGATCTAAGACCTTGTATTTCAGATCAACCTTGTCATGCAACTTATCAACATGCTCATGCACTAGGCCACACAACAATTCTCATTCCATCTCTTTTTCTCTAGACATATAATCACAGTCATGTTTACAAAATTTTGCATTTCGGACAACTTGATTTGATGCGACACAGCATTCAGATATACTGATGTCCCATGATTCTGACACTTTTCATGCCATAAAAAATATCGACGAATTTAAAAGAAAAAAATATCTGAAAAATAACCCACAATGGATTTACAATGGAAGAAGCCAGATCCATGAGATGCTTTTCTTAACAATATGCATTATTTTAAATATCCCCAACATCGACCGATATATCCCCTGACATATCCTTTCACAGTGCTTGCACAATGGTCTTTAAATACCATTTACCATTTTTTGGGTATTTTGGTGATATATCCCCGATATGGCCAATATATCAACCAATATGTTGGTCGATATATCCTTTTATATGGCTTGTCGCAAAAAAATATAGCATGTTTGGCAATTTTTGGACGAGATATCATGATTTTCCCATTATATCAAATGACATTTTGGCCTAAAAAATCAAACGAAATGTTGCAACGTTGATTTGTACTTTTGTTTGTTTTACAAGGTTAATTAGTGATCCTTAACATATATTATTTACATTTTGTATGCTTAGATTTCCGTAAATATGTTGAGATAACATTTTAGTACATTATACTATATATGCAAACATCTGTTATGACATTTCGATATTTACCAAATATCCCCGATATCTGCAATCCGATATGAGTTTTGGCCATCCAATATTTTCTCGATTTCTGATATTTAAAACATTGACAACAACATGTCCTTAGATAATAAACACATATATATATTTGCATCCTTGCTGAACAATTTGGACTTTTGGAGTCAAATCCACCCTACTTAAATTCAATGTTAGGATTATCAATAAAAAAAGCTCACTTTGTTAAAGTTTCCTAACAACCAAGGCGAACATAAATGAATGGCTCAAAGTATTATGCTCAGATCTATGGTTTAGACATAAATTTTCAATCCAACTATTTCATCATGACCTCAATCCTTTAAAAAAAAGGAACTCAAGTTTATTAGACCATAAATATAGTATACCTTATCATTAAACTAAACTTGCTAATTTTGATTATCAGTTTTTATCCGCTTGATGGATAGACAAAAAAATCTGATTATCAATTTAGCATATTTAACTTTCCATTTGTAAACACTTTACATGATATAGATGAAATTAAATTGATTGGAGCTTTAATTTGGTTTTCCAATCATTCAATTTGGTGAGGAAAGATTTGCGTCAAAGTACTTCACAATCCAACATACACTAGGTCTAATAAACTTGACATAATACTGCCTCCACCGTACAATTTGCTTCAGATTCATTGTTCTGACCTTGTTTTAAAATACAAGTGTCACTCATATCCTAGACTAGATTTGGTGGAAAAAGTGGGGCATTGGCTTCACCGTCTTTAATATCACTGTGTGTGTTACGTGAGTGAGCGAAGGCACGTGTGCATGGGTGTACACAGAGGCAGAGCTAGGAATTTCATGAAGGGTTCAAACCCTAATAATTAAACATGATAACCTTTTTTTGGCATAATTACATAACCAGACTTTCAAAATCAAGTTCCAAATTAGAATATAGTGTTTTGTGTAACAATCTTTTTTACCTCATTTCTTGAAACGATTTCATGACATCTTCCTCGTCATGCTACAAAATATAGCTTTACACTATAAGAAACCAAACAATAATTCATGTATTCAACGCTCATTTGGTTATGGGGGCCATTGTTAATAATTACCAGTTCATGAAATGCTCTTTTAACACTTGTCGTTGCAATAGGCATGATTAGACTCAACTTTTTCAACTTGTACATTAAAGGATATAAAAAATCCATTTTCCATTCAACATCTTCTTAGAAAGTCTAATGATCCTTTGAATTTTATTATAAGGCAATTACCCGAAAAGATAGTCTAAAGAGCCCTTAAGTTTTACCCATTCTTCTAAGAAGCCCCAAACTTTCTTTAAACAATGAAGCCCCTAAGTTTAACTCTACCTCTAAGAAGCATTCAACTTTCTTTTTTGACGAAGGAGACCCTAACTTTTAACCCCTCTCTTCAAAGAATCCCCCACCTATTCTAGTTAACTTAAGAGATTTCAATAACAAAAGGAGAAAATTGAGGGCTTCTTAGAAGAAATGGGTTAAAGTTAAGGGCTTCATTATTAAAAGAGGAAAGTTGATGGCTTTTTAAAAGAGAGGGATAAAAACTTATGAGCTTTGTTGTCAAAAAAAAAAGTTGAGGGTTTCTTAGAGAAGATGTGTAAATCTTATTAGGGGCACTTTATACTATCTTCCACCAGTTACCCCTTATATTAAAAAAATAAATTGTATCTTGATTCTGGACTTTGATAGTTCAATTTTTCACACAGGTGCACTAACTCTTTCCGAACCTCATATAAGACTAGATTATCTCCAAGAAGTAGAACCAGAATCAATGAACATCAGATGCAACGAATCAATGGGTCGGGAAAGACATGCTCACTTTCACTAATAAAATGCATGAAATGGTGACTTAGAGCATATGCATCTATCTTTCAAACCCTAGCTTCCCTAGCTATTATGCAATTCATATTGGCTTTTCATTGGCGCGAATATGTAGTCGGTTGGCCTATCTTGTGATTGGAGATTTATAGGTGGGTCCATGGCCCCTTTGGTCCTCCGTCACTAGGTGTACATGAAGGTGTTGAGGGTGCATGCGCCCCCTCAAGCATGTAATGTGTGGGTCCATGGCCCTTTTGATCCTTTGTCACTGGGTGTACATGCAGGCATTGAGGGTGCACACGCCCCCTCAAGCATGTACATGTGTGGGTGTGCATATACATGGTGTGCATTCATGTGTCCTCCTGCTTTAGAGTTTTCATGCAGGACACTTTCAGATGCTTGACTAATTGACACTTACGTCTCATGTCCATGTAACATAGGTAGTCAGTTGTCGCACATGATCAATAAGCAGCCTCATAAAATTCTCATATATTTACTTCAAGTAAATACTAACCAATTAAGCCATGGGCCTAATCACATATCAGTTCTTCACTCTTTTACATGTCGTTCTATTATGGGATTTAGCCCTCAAAGCAACTTGTTAACATTTCTTCTAGCTAAAATGGGTCCTCAACCAAATGAAAATACAAATCAAGCAATAAAATCTCTACAATGCTTTTAATTAAGCAGTATGTGAACTAGAATCAAAACCACCACAATCCCCAAAAGTCTAAAGCACATATAACCTTCCTTCTACAAATAGTAGACAATTCATATCACAGGGATGTCTATGCATGGACCACTAAGATCCTGTTTGGATTGAGGGTAATGGGGGTGAGGGGAAGGGAGGGTAACTTTTAACCTTGTTTGGGAAGTAAATATAGTAAGTTAATAGGGGTGAGGGGAGGGGAAAGGAAGTGAGAAAATACCATGATTTCTTCCCCCCAATTTGGGGTATAATGGGGGTGAAGATAAAGAGGGGGGAATACAACAAACGTAGAGAGACATATTTACCCCTAGCTAAGATCAAAATCCAATGGCTAAAATTTGCTCACAGAAACCCCACAGTATAAACTCTCGTTGCAAGCGCCTCCACCATTTCTTCTTCCTCCGCGTCTCATCTCGCCTCCGCGTCTTCTCTCCTCCGCGTCTTGTCTCGCCTCAATCTCTCGCCCAGTTTGAGCAAGGGTTTTGATTTTTCAATGTAAGATTTTCTCTCCTGTTACTGGACCTGCAGGACTTGGCCTTGGATAATGTAGGCGTCTAAAAATGCCTATGGGTGTCCGCACATAGCTCAAGACAAAGAGAAGGCGATGAACATTATTATCCGAAGCAAAGAGGATTATCCGACATCGACAAGCGCATGAAGCGAATCGGCAAACTGTTGATAATACGACAACGAACCACCACAATGGCAAACGCCAAGTAGACCGCACGCGTTAAACAACTCAAAGCGTACAAACGCGCCCAACAGTCAGTTAACACGCTCGCATCATTCAGCTCGTGCATGTCAATCAGTTCACGCGTCAATCAGTTCAGGCGCATCGGTCAACACATGTGCATCAATCAAACACGCGCGTATATCAACCAACGCGCGTTCTACAGTTAATCCCGCAACGAAGCGTGCAAGTCAACAAGACGATCAAATATGTAA